TCAGCAGTCATTTTCTGAGAACACGAGATCAAACCTGGGTGTTCACAAAGAAGCCTAAATTGAAGAGACGGCAGGTGATGCTCAAGGGAAGGGAGACCTTTTGGAGCACAAACAATTTCATCAGGAGTCTATGTCAGATAGAGGACCCCAGGACTCCATGTGTGCCCCGCAATGACTCAGTTTTGCTTTGCTCTGGTCATGCCCCACTCCTCTTTCAAAAAGAAAATGTTTACTCTGTGCCTTTGTGTATTGAAGTATGTAAAATCTTATTTTTAACAGAGGTTTACAGTTAAGAGTTTGCTTTGGCTTTGGACATTTGAACATCATTGCTGGTGTTGACACTATGTGGACTTTGGACATAGGAACACATGCATTTGAACCATAAGTAGTTGTTGATCAGTCCACGTGGGCAGGTTTGAACAGGAATTGTATCCTTTGAGCAGGTGTGGTTTGAACATGAAATACACCCTGTAGGTGCATGTGTTTGAATCATTGGTCTACAATTGCTTGTGCTGTTTGCAAAGGCTGTGGGAAATTTGGGAAGCCTTGATGGAGGGAAGTTGGGAAGTTCCTGCCGAGAATCCAGACACAAATCATACAGATTAAAAGAGATCAGTTACATATTCTCAATGATTTTCAAAAATTATTGGATGATATTAACTGGTTACGGCCTGCCATTGGGTTATCTACCTAAGAATTATGTCATTTGTTTCAAATTTTGCAACATGTCTCAGATTTAGGCAGTCCAAGACAATTAACAGCTGAGGCTGAAAGGGAATGAGCCCAAGTAGAATAAAACTTACAAAATGCTTATGTGGAATGATTAGATGTCACCACTGAACGGATTTCCATAACTGTTCCTTCCAATCATTCCCCTACTGGACTCATTCTGCAGAGGGAGAATAATATTTTGGAATGGATTGTCCTAGCTCACAAAGTAAAAACTTAAAGCATATATAGAAAAGGTTTCTTCATCAATTGTCAAGAATGGATCCAGCTAAGGTTTGGGTATCTATGCCAATGATGAAATTGTACAATTATGGGTGATTGCTACTGCTGCAACAGCCAGAGTGGCCCTCCTAAAAAAAAAATCAAACTGCTGAGTTCATTAGAGACTAGCATAAGTATTCTACAGAACTTTGAACGGAACAAAATAAAATAGTTAATGAGATAGTTAGTGAATTATTTGATTCAAGGCAAGCTGTTATATTGTTGGGAGATCAGTTAAAAATATCAAAGGAGCAGGTAAAATTAAAATGTGATTGGAATGTTACATCCTATTGTATTGCACATTTAAGGTCAATGATTGCAAGTATGATTAGGAAAAGTTTAAGATGCTTTTGAAGGGTCACCCTAATTCTTCTTAAATGATTTATAATTATAGCAGAATTTAATGAAACTTCCACCAAAAAAAGTTACATGATATGAAAAAATGGATGTTATGGAAAGCCTTACAGATATGATACCCTCAATCAACCCTATGAATGACTTTAATAGATCGCTTGTTTTAGCAAGTGTTACTCTTGTGCTAGCAATAGTAACCGTATTGGTTTTAAAATGTGTTTTGGCTTACTTACGTAAGATTGTAAAACAGAATACAGAAAAGACTATATGTGCTGCAAAGCTATATAATTGCCAATATAATTAATGTTTGCATATAAAAGGGGGATATGTTAGTGGAGTTCCTGCAGATTTCAACAGCTGGTTTGATTCTGGAGTATTAGCACCTGTCTACACACACACACACACACACACACACACACACACACACACACACACACA